CACCACCATCAGTGTGTGAGTGAATGGGTGAATGACTGAATGTGGTGTAAAGCGCTTTGGTCAAGTCTGCTGACTTGAAAAAAGGCACTATAGAAGTACAGGCCATTTACCATTTGATTCACTGACCTACTGATTCACTGATAAATTAATTCACCGATCTACTGGTTCACTGATCCACTGATATACTGATTCACTGATCCACTGATTCACTGATCCGTTGATTTGCTGATCCATAGATTCACTGATCCAATTATTCACTAATCCATTGATTCACTGATCCACTGATTTACTGAATCACTGATCCATTGATTCCCTGAACACAGAGGGGCCAATCAGAGGGGTCAACACAGGGGGGTGGGGTGGGGTGGGGGAGGCAATCAGAGGGGCCAATCTTTATCTCTCAGGTTTCAGATTCTGTTTATTTGAACCAAATTTATTTTTTGTTTTTTGTTGTAATCTTTTTTGCTTTCAGCCCATTTTGCTCGTTATCGGTTAAACTCAAGGAACCGTGTTGCTGACTGTCCACTGACGTCACCATCGATCTTTAAACTCCGGGTGACGTCACTCAAGGAGTTTAAAAACACCTAAAGCTACCAGCTAAGCTAACAGGCTAAGAGCAGACTAACACCGAGGTTAGCGGAGCTACACCCCCCCAGCAGCTGACACCAGACCCCCGCTGAGCAGAGACCAGAACCGGTTCTGGTTTCGGACGGAACGAACCTCCAGAGGTCCAGTTCAGCTTCTTCGGTACCTTCAGACCTGTTGATTCCAGCAGAGAGCGGACATGTCCAGTGACAGCAAGCCCCGCCCACAGCAGCAGCCTGACACCTGCAGCTGCCAATCACAGCCGAGGGCCGTTCACTGACCCTGACAACGGAAGGAAAAAACAGCTTTACACTGTGAAACGTTCAGGAACAGCAGGAGCGGTGGGGAAAAGGAATTTCTTTTAGTCAAACTGCGCTGCTGATGATCAGAACCAACAAACTCAGCATTTCTTTTAATTGAAGAAGAGAATAAACGATATTACTATAGAAAGAGTTAATCAGCATGTATTTCTGGGCGTGATTTTAAGTAATGATGTAAGCTGAAAAGCCCAAATAGAAAATGTTGAATCAAAGGTGGCAAGAAGCATAGCAATACTGCCTAAATCAGGGGTCTGCAACGTCTTCCAGGCTAAGGGCCCCAAACTGATGGCGAGATGGAGCGGGGACCCCCTAATTATATATATATATGTCATTGAAATAGTGTTCTATCAAACTGGTCCTATAGTCACTCTATTACAGATGGAGTAATGTAACTAAAGTAATCCCTCCCTGGGATTATTAAAGTATTTCTGATTCCTGGTTGATGGGACAGGTGTTGTGAATGAAACGGTGCCCAGCTTGAAAGAGCTCCTGTGTGTCTCTGAATGTGAGCATTGATGACTGAAAGACATCTTCTGCCTCCATTTATCTGTTTACTACAGTCTGTTGGATTCTTGTTCATGTGGATTTAAAGACATTTCAGTTGGTGGAAAAAATTGCAGGAGGGAATAAAAAAAAAGTCTAATCAACCAAAACTTTCACGACCCCCATGCAGTACCTCTGTGGCCCCCTAGGGGTCGACAAATCTTAAGTATTTTCTTTAACTTGAAGAAACTGAATATTTTGAAAATCAGGCAGAAATAAAAGCTTTTAATGAAATCAGCAGCTGTGTTTCCATCAGCAGGGAACTTACTTATATTTATTGCATAGAAGTTAGGGGCAATACGTATAAAAATAATATAGATTCACCTATGAAACTTCAAAAAAAAAGATTTACGAATCGTTCATCATGTTGATTCAGAGATCACACTAATGCATTTTTCTTAAAATCTCACATCATGAAAATCCCAAATCTATCTGTTTATATCTATTACTAGATATAAACAGAGACTCTCTGTTTTTCTTTCTGTACAACTGCTTTCAAAATAAGACACTGTATTCATTTAACTGCTTTGATTTGTAATTCCTCCTTTTAGCAAAATACCTTTTACTGTACGTTACGTGACATGAATATTGTTATTGCTGTTAGGTTCTTGAACTTCTACCTGCTTCGTTTGAGCGCTAATAAAATGTCTTAACATGTAAATCTTTCTTGTATTGTTGCTCAAAGAAATTGAAATAAATAAAAAAAAAAGCTGTTTACGGAAATAAGACCTTTCTTCTTATCTCAAAGCTCTGCTGAGGTGGCAGATACTCTCTGTGCTTTATATCTGTGAAGAATAAAACTTCTCAGAGTTGATATTTTCTGCTGCTTTAAAACTTGAGCTACTTTTCTCCTATTCTCAGCCCGGACCTTGAATGCAACAAAGACAGCTGCTCCGTTCTATTAATAGCTGACAAAGACCGGGGGGGGGGCAATGTGTTGGAGACAGGAGGACCTGATGCTCCAGTAACCATGGCAACTGCTTCCGTTTATTCAGACGGATAAAAAAGGAATGAGTAAAAATAAAGAGCAGAAGTTTGGGAGTTGGTGGCGGACGTGGCGCTCCTGCGGCTTCTCGCCCTGACTGTGGCAGAAGGTCATGAGTGGGTTCAGGTCCTGAGTGGGCCGGTTCCTGCCGCAGCTGTGTGCGTTCTCACCCTGCCGTGATAACGACCCTGCAGCTCATCGACCCGTTTTCCCCTCCTGGAACTAAAGTCCAGGATTCAATCTAAAGATTAATGAGATTAGATTAAACTGAGCTTCACTCTAAAGTCTTTTAATATCTGCCAATCAAATGTTTCAGTAAAGTTTCTGTGATAAAATAAAGTTTTAATCCATGGGGCGCCGTTTGTAAGGTAAGCAGTCAGAGATTAGGAGCAATATTTATGGTTTAAGAGAAAAATAAGAGGTTTATTTTTGTGATTCATTCATTGATAAAAATCTTACTTTGTTAAATAAATATTTAGCTCTAAATTACATATCTAACAAACTAAATATGTAGCTAGCCTGGTGCTAGCTACATATTTAGTTTGTTAGATAAATATTTAATTTGGAGCTAAATATTTAAAATAAACTTTAACTTGCAAACTAAATGTTTAGCTCCAAATATTTGTTTAACAAAGTAAAATCTGACTTGCAAAAAAAAAAAAAAGAACTCTTTATTTTTCTCTAAACCATAAATATTACTCCTAACTGCTTTCCTTACTAATGGCGCCGCGTATTAATCAGGCTTTCTGTTGTCTTTCAAAGGTTTAAATATTTTAATCGGTTTCATTTCTTAATATTTTAATTCTTTATTTACATTCTTTTCAGACGATTCTTATAAAAGTTAAATTGTTCTGAATCTTCAGTGTTTTTTATTTATTAACTTGAAGAAACTGAATATTTTGAACATCAGGCAGAAATAAAAGGTTTTAATGAAATCAGCAGCTGAAGATGAACCACAGCATGACTCCAGAGGCGTTTCCCACCGTGCTTCAGCCTCTGCAACCAGAACCGACTCTGCTTCTGGGCGTGGATCGATGACATCATCAGTTGGAAAGGTCATTTTGTCCAAACAGCGGTGGGAGTGCTGGAGATAACGGCCCTGATAAAGCAGCAGGTTCTGTAGGACTCACTGCTAGAACGGCTGCTGATGAAGATGATCCATCTGGTTCTGGTCGGGTTCTGTCTGAGCTCGGCTGCAGCTGCAAAGGTCAGTTCTTCCCTCAACGTTCTCATTTCATTAAGCAGGAAACAGAGAAGAAGCATCAGAGGAACCAAGATGGAAGGAGAACCAGAACCTCTGAGGCTGGTCCGGATGGAAGGAGAACCAGAACCTCTGAGGCTGGTCCGGATGGAAGGAGAACCAGAACCTCCTGACATCCAGAGCAGATGGCAGCGGCTGCATCAGAACCTGCAGATTCTAGCACCATGACCAGAACTGAACCGAACCCTGGAGACCCGGTTTGGTGGAAGAACCCAGAACCTGCTGCCCTCTGGGTCACAGAGGCAGACTTTGGCATCAGGAACCTGGGAGCCGGGTCGTGGTTCTTTGGGTCGATCCGGGTTTAATGTGAAGGAGCTTCAGAGGCCTGGTTCTGATGTTGTTTCCTCCTTTATTGGATGGAGCTCAGCCTGTAGAACCGGACCAGGTTCTGAGGTTCCTTATTGGCTCATCCAGCTGCTGCTCATCCTCATATCAAACCCACCTGGATGTAAACCTGTTGGTACCAGAACCAAAGTGATTGTGGTTCTGTGTGCAGCTGGGCGTGGTCCGGACCGAGGGCGGCCTGGTGGAGGGCCTCAGCGTTGGTACCGGGCTCTTCAGGACGGTGGAGGAGTTCAAAGGGATCCCCTTCGCTGACGTCCCTAGAAAATGGGAGAAACCAGAACCTCATCCCGGCTGGGACGGTAGGTCCAGAGTCAAACGGGCCCCTGGTTCCGGTTCTGGTTTACCGTCTGCGTGTCGCAGACGGTAAACCAGAACCTCATCCCGGCTGGGACGGTAGGTCCAGAGTCAAACGGGCCCCCGGTTCTGGTTCTGGTTTACCGTCTGCGTGTCGCAGAGTTAACGTTGAAAAACTGATCATTTGATTTTAACTACAGTTTTAACTCTGACATGAAAATAAATCAGCTGAAGTAATAAGTTACTAAATAAATACGTACAGATGGATGACATCATCACCCTGATGATGGGCGGGGCCAGAGTTGCTGCTTATTCAATATGAACAAATATCTCTAGAAATTAAAATTAATTTATTTAAAGTAGAATTCTACAATATTTGATGTTTTACTACAAGAGCTAAAGGATTAGTACTTTACTAGTAGTTATAAAGTCAATGTGTCGAAAAATAAAATTCAACTTTAGTGAAATAGTGAGTTTTATAAAAGTATTAGCTCTATTTTTTATAGTTCTAGGAATAATTCAAATAAAGTTTTTATTTTATTTTTTCAGAACTTGATTAAAACTGGTTCTGTAGGGGCACTGGCCCCCCTGGGCCCCCGTAGGTTCCTGTGGGCCCCTGTGGATCCCTGCCTATAACCGGCCATGCTGCTTTCCATCAGGAGTTCTAAGATTGAACATTTTCCATTTTTTAGATTCAGTTTTCCTCTTAAATCTGTTGTTTTATTTATTGCTTCTAAGCTTTTATTAAACTCTCCTTTAAGCAACATTTCGAAGCAAATTATGTGAGTTTTTTTTCTTTCTGTGAATGTCCTGTTAAGTCCTTCAGTTTGTACCATAAAGATTATTTACGTTCGTCCTGCTTTGAGTTAATCTTCATCCAGATTAACAGATGACGTTTCCTCTGCTGTTCCCAGGGGTCCTGACTGCCACAGAGTACAGGGATCGCTGCCTGCAGGTGACGTTGCTGCAGACTAAAACCCTCGGCAGCGAGGACTGTCTCTACCTGAACATCTTTGTTCCACATGGGAAGTCAGGTCTGAGATCCCAGCCTGTCTTCATGTCTTCATCCTCTAAATGTCCTGACAATCACTGCAGATTAATATTCCCCTCATGCTGCTGAGTGAAGTGAACAGCAGCATCTAGTGGCCGCAGGAGGAACTGCAGCTGCCTGAATGAACCCTCAAACATCTGATCTTTGTGTCTCCAGTCTCCTCTGGCCTCCCAGTGATGGTCTACCTGTTTGGAGGAGCCTTCCTGTTGGGAGCCTCCAACGACGTGGAGGTTCTAGGAGAGTCTCTCTATGATGGGAAGGAGCTGGCCGACACGGGAGGGGTCATTGTTGTCACGGTGAACTACAGAGTCGGTACTCTGGGTTTCCTCAGCAGTGGAGATGAACGGCTGCCAGGTGAACACCAACCTCCTCCTGTTACAGACAGCCTGGATCCTTCCTCATCTTTAGCATGATGACTGTAAACAATGTCTGAATTTATCACATGTTCATGTGTTTGAACTGATCTGAGCAGCTCAGCAGCTGTTAGTGGTATCCTGGGGATTTAGTGAAGTTAGAGATGCAGCTCCTGCTGACATCAGCTGGTTACTATGGTGACAGATGGAAAGTTTTCAGGTTCTAGTAAGAAACGGCTGCAGAGTCTCATCCAGTTAAAATCTTATTTCATGATGTTCTGATTGCTCTCTGAGTGACTCGGTTCTATAGAATCAGCTGTTAGTGAAGGGAAGCTGCTTTGGTTGGTCCCTGGCTTAGAGCTGGTGCAGCATAACAGTCAGTAAGGGTCAATAACAGTCAGCAAGTCATGAATTTATTCTCCGCTCAGTGAATCACATTTCCCGCTTTTGCTATCAAAACCATTCTAAAAAAGTTCTGACAAAATTCTATTCAGTTTATTTCTATAGCACCAGTTCACATCATGTCATCTCAGGTCACTTTCCAGTTCACCAGATCATCCAGTCAGATTGATTCTAAGTTTTCTATCCCATGTCAGAGGATGAAGAGAGCACCTCCAGTTAGTCACAGTCAGAGAAACAGGACTACACTGGAAAACAGGCCAAGCTCCAACATCTAGAAACAAAGGTGTTGATGGCAAAACATTAAGAATATGTTTAAAAGTTTCCTTTTTGTTCACATTTAAAGCTGTTTTCTCATCAGTGTGAAAGAGGGGGGGGGGGGTATTTCTCAGCCTATCAGCATATTTCATTTCTAGTCTTCATACATTTTTAAAAATCTTTGGATCTTCACATCAATAGAGACATTCTAAACACTGATTCTATGTTATCTTCAAATGCTGTGGCCCCAAAGTCATGTTTTTGCAGACTCTATATTGTTAAATTGGAACATCTATAATTGATTAATTCCAAGATTACAGTCAGATTAATCTAGATTTAGAAACCACTAGTTTTTGTGTTGTTGCCTTATCATAGTTCCAGCAGGTGAACTGGGTGAAATGGGTCTGTTAGCTCAGCTGCTACAGAGCAGTGAGGGTTTCAGGGGACGGTCAGGTGAGGCGGAACTAGTTTCTCTCAGCCTTTATTAGACACACCCACAAACAGGTTCCAGTTCTGTAAGGGGGAAGCTTTTGGACCTCTGAAGCTGGGTTCACACCCAACGCAGCAGGAGCAGCTAGTTCATGCAAACTGAACGGTGGACGAGCGTCAAGGTGCAGCAAAATGTCCTGCAGCGCGTCTGAGCAGCTGGAGCGTTTAAGCATCTGACGCTCGCGATGCGCCGCAAACGCGCTGCTGCTCGAGATGAAAAAATTTACCTTTAGCTGCTGGACGCCGCATCAACCAATGAGAGAAGCTGATCTGGGAGCTGGCAGGGAGTCAGACGCAGCACTGCTGATGCAGAGCGCTATGATCACTCCTCTGAAACAGTTTATTAACGCCTAAATTAACTTCAAATGTAGAAACCTGCCGGCAGAATATCCATCCATCCATTATCTGACACGCTTGTCCCGAGTGGGGTCGCGAGGGCTGCTGGTGCTTATCTCCAGCTGTCAATGGGCGGGAGGCGGGGTCCACCCTGGACAGGTCGCCAGTCCATCGCAGGGCATCACAGAGACAACCAACCATTCACACACAGACCTAAGGAGAATTTAGAGAAGCCATTTAACCTAACAGTCATGTTTTTGGACTGTGGGAGGAAGCTGGAGTACCCGGAGAGAACCCACACATGCTCAGGGAGAACATGCAAACTCCATGCAGAAAGACCCTGGGCCGGGAATCGAACCCAGAACCTTCTTGCTGCAAGGCAGCAGCATTACCCACTGAACAGCGCCGACAAAACGTGTTCGCTTTTATTATCCTGCTGCCTGCAGTTTGGATTATGTACATGAAAAACGCTTCCAGCCGCTGCTGTAAACCCGAGGAGGCGAGCGGGCCAGAGGCTGCTGTTGAATGGGATTCCTACTGACAGCGCAGCGCCGGTATGGGGGGGTCTGAGCGGCTCCCACAGAATTAATATATCAGGCAGGATGGTAATCTGGATGAACTGACTGCACTGTTTAAGCTTTCAGGTGGATTTTCTCACTTAAAAACATATTAAAACTACTTTATTTCCACTGATCACAGCAAATATAGCTGCCATTGTTCCAGGCAAAGAAAGGATAGAGTAGCTCCGCCCAACACGCATCAGATCCACTTCACCACCGCGCAGCCAGAGCAGCAAAGCTGCTTCAGCTGCGCGTCAGAAGCTGGTACAAGCATCAGAAATGAAGCAGCAGGCGCGTTTCTGCTGCTCCTGCTGCGTTCGGTTTGAACGCAGCTTGAGGCTCAAGGTTCTGGTTTTGTTGTTGCTGAATCTGGTGATCCTCAGAGTTTTTTTCTGTTTTAGTTTTCTGTAAAGTTGTCCAGGATCTAAAGGTTTTAAGGGAGAGCAGGGTTCTGACTGCCATCGTTCATTATCTGATCTTTTTAGATAAACTAAGTTGTGTTGTTGAGTTTAACGAGATTCTGTCTCATCTATCAGGTAACTATGGCCTCTGGGACCAACATGCTGCCATCTCCTGGGTCCGCAGGAACATCAGGGCATTTGGGGGCCACCCTGATAACATCACCATCTTCGGCCAATCGGCTGGAGCCGCCAGCGTCAGCTTCCAGGTAGACAGATTTTTCTCTGGTTCCAGGAGAGTCACTCTGTTTAAAGGGAAAGACGTCTGAACCTTGTCCTGCTGTCCACCCTGTGTCCTAGATGCTGTCTCCTTATAGTCGGGGGTTATTCCGCAGGGCCATCACTCAGTGTGGAGTGGCCCTCAGTCCCTGGGCTCTCCAGAAGAACCCCATGGCTACCCTCACAAAGGTTTTCCTCTGAAACATCACTAACATCCACGTCTCACCCAGAGTTTATACACAGTTGTTACCGTTATTGTCAGAGTGGAGGATCTATTTTAATTTATTCTTAGAAACCGTCTCCCTGTCCAGCTCATTCCCACCCAGGGGGCGTGGCTAATCCACCCCTCCACCACTAGCCTGTGTTTGGGTTCACATGGTTCTGTTCATCACGGTCCAACATCTCTGCTTTGGTCCTGTCTGTCCAGAGAAGTCCCAAAATTTAGAAAATTTCTATTTAAAAAAAAATTCTGTCTTAAAAACTTGTTTTTTCTTCGTTATC